GCCCCAACCGAGTTTATGACTTTGCGCTACATTTCCCTAAAGGGTCTAAAACCCGAGCAAGCAAACACCCAGTTTCGGTAACATGTGTCGGTTGTAGCAGATTGATGTTAACTAGCGATAAACGGAGGAAGGAATTTTCAGTTCGACACTCCACTATCAACAACAAAGAAGAACGGTAGGGAATGGTGTACTGTACACACATTAAAATGTGATAAGAGTGTGAAGGCATCGTTAAAAAGGCATGGAAGAGTGTCGCCTTCCCACCGAGATAAGCTAATAATAATACGTGTATACGTACGATGCTACCAACACGTGTGACATCCATAAGTACCGTGCTGTAGGACTCTTGCACGACTTAACCTATATTTGAGTTTAAAAAAAAAAGACAAGAGACACCTCGGTAATAAAAAGAAGCTTCTCTCGTTGCACTCGCCTACTCTAATGAAGTCATAAACGACACATACACCGATGATTTCATACACACAACAGCAGCGTGACACGTCCTCTCATCGTAGTTGCCTTCGTCATCGACATGGCAACCAGCGTGACTCGAAGCAGTCCTTTTACCCCATCAGTGTAATGACGCTCTGTTGATGCAAACACAACAACATGTATATTCGCTTCGCGTTAGGTAGCTTGAATTCGGCTCAGGCTGTTTTTGGGAATTTGTTTAATTATTGACAATTTTAAGAATCGGATACCCAAGGTTGAGTTTTTTTTTCCCGGAACTAGAAATTGATAAGATCTACTGAGGGCGGGACACCTTGGATATTTTCATTGCTTGACTTAAACTTAACAAAAGTATCCGTAGAAAGGCATGGACGATCATTTGTAAATTGTTTTGCCTAATCTCGGCAATTTTTAACCGGGATTCGCACAGCCGAGTGCTCGGCAATCTGTTTTACTGAGATCTCAACAACGTCATGTTTGATGAGATCTCAGTAAAATTGATTGCCTAACACTCGGCTTTTTAAAATCTCTTCCTGATGTAAGCAAAAAAAACTAAATTTGATACACGGCGAATGAGAACGACTCAAATTTGAGTTTAGTTCACTCATAATCGCCAAAAGTGCAGGAACTCAGCGATGAGTAAATTTGCCTCATGTTTTCCCAGGTTTTTCTAGGATTTTCCAGGGAATAATTCCCGAATTTGAGAAATGTAAAGATTGCATTCACTCAGTCTATTGGTACTACTCCGAGACTGAATAAAATTTTCGTCAATTTCCTCATTTTCCGGCAGATTTTTTAGGTTTTCCACAGGAAACCATGAGACAAATTTTACTCATCGCTGAGTTCCTGCACTTTTTAGGATTATGAGTGAACTAAACTCAAATTTGGGTCGTTCTCATTCGCCGTGTACAACTTGATAGAATGAACGAAATGAATGCAAATGATTTTCCATGCCTGTCTGTAGAACAAACATTGTTCAGGACAAAAAGCTCTATCTTTTACATATCTACGTTACGGTCGGCCAGCAGATGGAAATGATGTGAAAATGATAATGACGTTTTTCTAGCTGTCAAATCGTATGGAATATTTTTTAGTACATCATCACTTTTGTGGTTTTGGATTTCAAACCTAGGTGTCGCATGCACTGGTGCAGTTTCGCGTAGATTAATCAATTAGTTTTTGAAAATACTTAAATATTTTCGATGATATTTAGATTTTTTTGCTGATATGTTCAGTTGTCTTGCCCCTTGAAAATCTACCAATATTTCGGTAAACTTTACTCCAACCTCCAGAAAAAAGTAACTCAAATATGAATTAAGCTTCCCCAAAAGTGGGTGGGATCACTAACTAATTTTTCTGACCATCCATTTCATCCATATTCCAAATATTACCCTATTTTTTCGATTCTTTCATAAGCAATACTAATCTTAGCGTGCAGATGACGAAAGCCAAAATCAACAGGGAATTTTCAAATAGCCGTATCTGCTTCTGAAAACAAAGGTTCAAACGTCAGTATGTCAAAACTCTTTGTTTACGAAAACAGATAGGACTATTTGAAAATTCACTCTTGAAATGCTCTCGTTTTGCCACCCGCGTGCGAGCACAGCTTAATCCATCCAGAGCCAGTGCAAGGTGGGAGTATTCGGCATCCGGCACCGGCCGTCCCTCTATCACACCCCGCCTATATGCATCCATTGCCGCCAGCCGCCACCGATACACAGGGGTTATTTTTGGCTCACCCTGGTTGATTCATAACTCTGACGAACGGTTTCTCCTAGACACACGGATTGCTTTCTTCTTCGGATCTCTTCCTTTTTCGCCACACATTCTCTTCTGCGCCTACTTTGATCCAAGCTGGCTAGTCACTACACCTCTGCAACCGTTCCGCAACGCTTGGACGCGTCGCGATCGCGTATTGTTTATCTTTTGTGCGGAGCAGAACCAAATCGCCATATCTCTAGCCTAGCAAGACGCATCGTCCAATCCGCACCTGTTGGCCATAAACAACCCCGGGGCCGAGAACCATGCATCAGAAGCGCAGGGTTGCCAATTTCGTAACGAGGTTATGTCATTCAAGTACGGTCGGTGACAAGAACGTATGCCTCCATAAGGCTGCTTGAAGCCAAACAACGCAGAAGAAAAAGCAAATCAATGATGTCACATACCCGCCAAGCTAAAGCTCAAGAGTTATGGCCGCGGGCGGTTTGTCAAACCGTGCGCTGATGTAAGTCTAATATGGAAGGTTGTTTGCATACATTTTCCCCCGAGTGTGTGGAATCCACGTGTTCCACCACCGTAAAGTGTAACGTTTTTCTGCCAGGTAATTTGTAGATTAAACGTCGCAAATCATTACGTCGTAGCCGCCGTCGCTCAGCGTGTTTACATACAACAACAACATAGCAAGCCATCGAACCTTGCGCGTACCACAAAGCCAACGACGAGACTGCGTCAGTGGCGACGAGGGGTGATAAGCCAATGCTTGCTTCGCGCAGTAAGCCATGAACGCCTGCCATTTTGTGCAAACAATACAGTACAGCCAGAGAAAAGCTTGCTCGATTAGAGACGATACGGATAGTCAGTGGTAAGCCACATCGTGCTCATCATAATCCCCCGGGATTGATGAATGCATTCCTGACGTAGTCGGGTAAATCCACCACCGCCACGTTTTCATCACTGCTCTGTAGGTGGTTCGCCACACGGTTGTAAATTGTTAGTTTAGATTCTATTAAATTAGGGCGTACGCCGCCCTTCCCACCTCTCGAAACACCCAATTTTCGACCCAACCGTGTTTGGGGGGACAACGGAAGGACACGAACGCAAAAACCGGAAAGTGAAATGTCGATTATCATCATTATCACCATAGAGTGAAAACGATATCCAATAAACAAAAACCAACACATTGAACCGGCGAGTGAGTGAGTGAGTGAACGAAAAGGGAGCACACCAATACAGCGCAAGTACGGAGAGCGAAGTGAAGCGCTCACCACTACATATCTCCGTAGACGATATTTGCGGATGCGGGTGATTGGATTGCTGAAAATAGAGCCCTACTTCGGGGGAGAATAGAGAAGTAAACAACAGATTCCACCACTACAATAGGCTAATTGAAAGAGTTATATCTGGTTCTTCGTTCGTTTCATCCGTCCGTCCCTGTGCTTCACGCTTCGTGTCATCCCTGTGTTCTTCATACGTACTCACATTCTTGGAGTTTCCTTGGGCGGCGGAATTGCCACTGCGGAGTTTTCATCATCTTTACCGTTCTCTGATTCCGGCTGTTGGTGAGTGTATTTGTTTACAGAAATATGTACGGCGCTGAGCAGACGCCGACTTAACGCCGTAGGGACGGACATGGAGAAGAAGCAGGAAAGACGCTGCGGCCGTGATTCAATCCGAGTTTGACCCAGTGATGCCACTTTTTATTTCACGTCTTCTGTGTTTTGAGTTTCAAACATCTGTAAATGCTCAATAATCTCTTAAATCTGTGTAAATCTTTGTGCTTTTCCAAAAATCTGTATCTGTATTTTCAGATTTATGCATCGAAAATTTTCCAAAAAAAAGTCTGTATATCTGTATGTTTGACATCACTGGTTTGACCGTTGTTTACATGCTTGATATTAGCTTCTGGAGCCGACTGCTTGCTTGAATGATGATAATGGACCGAGCATGTGTTGGCTTGTGATGGATCAATGAAGTTTTATCAATTGACTTTTTTTCTGCTTTCGGCGGATGAGCAGAGTCGGACTAGTTCAGCCGTCAGTCCACTTCAATCAAAGACGGCTATGCCCATTTGGGCAAATCATATGCATTACATCATACATGTCACCTTCGCCAACCGTTCTGACACAAATAGACACGCACACAGACAGCAGGCCGATTGAAAATTTGCAAGAAATCAGTATGACGTGTTTGTTTTTTTCTTGCCTGTGCACCGAGCACCAACACCTACATGCGCCGCTGGCGGCGAGCTCTAATCGTGCACCGTGCTTAAACTAGTGAGCAATTGGTTATCGAAAAAAATATGCCTGCGAAAAAAATGGTGATGGTTTTCAGGTTGCATTTTGCTTCTCTACTCATACTGCAGTTATGAGCAGTGGGTACTCGATAGTGCTCACACCGCAGGAGAGTGTGTCAAAATTAGCATAAATGACACAAGTAGCAACGACTGCGATCTAGGTCACACTTGTCGACTGCACCTTACCGGACCGGGGCAGCGCACAGGTAGAGAGGTTGCGGTAGCTGAGGCTTCTCGATAGTTGCTAATTAATAACTGGCTACTCGCTCAATCTCCCTCCCCCCTCCTCACGAATGGTTGCCATGAGCTATGAGCTCTATGGAACAACAACAACAACCAAACATGCAAACACGTGCCACGTTTCAGCTTTTACCATCCATCCCTATCTCCACTTGGTTCTCAAAAGCCGAGTGTTGTTTATTTGCTCGCTAGCAGCACCGTAGCTCAACCATAACTTGTCTTGGGAAAACACGTTTTTCGGATAGACTAGTACCACTAAGTGGAAAATCGTTGAATTTTTTCATACACTGATAATTACCGTTGTCATACTGGGGATCCACGGGGAAATCGTTTATCGCGATATAATCCTGTCTGGCGGAGACTCCGTTTAAGCAAACTTTCCAAACTGCGTCACAATATTAATCACCAAACATTCACACACAGAGTCACAAACGAACGAAAGTACAACAGACAACAATGTGTAACGAAAACAAATGTCTATTTCAATCAATTAGAAACGAGAAACTGTAACGCACTCCACACAAACCGAAGTAGGCGATTCACAGACACTGAAAACACCCAGACACGGCTTGCTTAGTCGCCACGGCTAGTATTCCCTATATGGCGTCGCCGTCGTCGTCGTTGTTGTTAGCCACCACCGATGGAACAGAAGGAAAAAAATGTAACACGTACTCTGGCTCGAAAAATAGGTCTTTGACAGCGTACTTCTTTCCGTTTTTGTTTTTCTCGACTGGTAGCGCTGCTCTGCTTTTCAATTATCTAAATATGGCCGAGCCGAAGGCACCTCTTCCTCCTGCTGGAGCTTGTCTGGCTTGTGTGCCTTCTAATTTTCACTGGACACGATAGCTCCTGGTTTGCGTGCTTCCTTCTTTTTCCTGCTTCACTCTTTCTTCTCACACTCCGATGTGACAAGTGTACATATCATAAACCACTCTCTCTCTCTCTCTCTCTCTCTCCCGTTCAGTAAAAGGTTTCATGGGAAAAAAAAACCTTGAACTGCGTCGCCAACACCTCCTGCAAAGTTTCGATTACTCAACACTCTTCGAACAATTCCTTCAAATTGGCACGACTTCCGTTCTGCCTTGTGTAAGGTCTGGCTTGCAAAGAAAATACTCTCACAATCGGGGAACAAACTTAACCGTAGCGATGCGTAACACTTAAAATTTCTAATAACATTAACGGAAACTCATTAAATCTTCTCCTCTTCGTCTCACTGCGAGGAAGCACCTTCCTCTGTACTCTGAACCGAACGGCAGCTTCTTCTTCTCACATATTGATTCCCTCCCTGCTCCCTTCTTGCGGCCGTCAAACCACCGCACCAAAAAATGCCTATTCAATGAGTCTAACGGAGCGCGCAGATATATCGCACGGATGCACTCGCACTCGGGTACGGCCAAAACTGAAATGAATTGAAAAATTTATGTTTACCCTCGACTAGCTCGCAAAGATCCAGCTCGTTCTACACCACTACCAACGCCAGAACACACCAAGGTAACTCACGTCCGCTCTCTCGCCAAAGAGAGCGCGTTGCTTCGTAGTGGTGGTGATGAGTGCCAACCGGCACACAGCTGACAATCGTCAGTCATGTGAAAATCAGCTGTTGCTATAGCTACCGGCTTGTTTACACTCTTTGTCGCACTGATATTGGTGCGATGCTGTGCCGGACTGCTGGCTGTGCGGGGAAGTAAACAAATTTTTGGCTTACACGTATGCACTTCCGAATCGGCAGCAGCGCCGCCGTGCTAGTGTTTGTGTGAGTTCGTCCATCCGTCCGTCTGCTCCGAGTACATAGCACCTGTGCCGAATCCTTCCTAAGCTACGCAACGTGACCTCGAAAAATGGAAGCTTTTTCCATTCCTTGCTGCGCTGCTACCACCGCGTCCTCTCACCACCACGCACACAGAGAAGCAGAATGTAAACAAACCAGCTTTTATTTACCATGGTTACGAAATACTTGCACCGGACAGCGCCTACTACAGCTTTCCCGATCTGGTGACTACTCACTGCTCATCGGACACCGTTTTGCACGCGAGTTCTTACCGCATGGTTGATGTTTTTATTTTTTCTTTAACGTACCTACTATATTTTATCTCAGATGAATGTAGTGGTGAATTTTCGTTCGGAATCTCATTTGCAAACGATTAGCAGGCAGACTTTCTCCCCCTGCATGCGCGTCTGAGCCGCCGGACTAATAAACTCGGACAACAACGAACAAGAACGAAAGTCAATAAAAGATAACGGAAGAGAGAACCGAACCGAACCAAACCGACCTCATGCTCAAACTCAAGCAATGATGGTGGATGATGCTCGAGTGTGAACAGCACTTGATCCGAGGAAAAAGAAAAAAAAAACGTGTCCGGGAGATTTGTCAGCTTCCCGGTGGGGTAATTAAAACCAGGTAGCGTGCTTCGCTCATTTGCGGTTGAATATTTTGTTGTTGTTACTAAACATCTTCCCTCAAAGTGCCACATTCCACATTGCGTAGCTTGATGGCTGTCATCTTGGTAGGTACCTAGTTGTGAAATTCGAAACTTTATTGTACCACCCCAGTAGATTTCCCTAACCGTCGGATTACTCCCAAACGACTAAACTGCCGAGATGAACAATGATTGATGAGGTTTTAAGCGAGCACAAACAATCACAGGAGGCGTGGAGCTTCTGTTCCGATCGAGGGAGGAAAATTCTTCACATCACCATCATCGTTTCCAAGGAGCCTAGGCCTACTACGCTACGTAGGATGATTGTGTATGTTTTTTTGGATTGAGTGTTTTACACACTCACGCCAGCTCATGTTTGTGATGCTACCCGGCTGGTTTGTATATATCGCTGAGTCATCCACATGGTTGCGTTATATAACCTTTGCTTACTTTTGCAGCAGGGACCTGCACTTCGGAGCTAATTTCATCCCAGTCTCGATAGTCGGCGTTGCTCTACAACCGATTTTTTCCGAGTTTCATTATCACATTCTCACTTAATCGGTACGCTAAAAATTATAACCTACACACACACACACTCACATGAATCAAAACACAATAACGATGATGACGGCAGCAGTAAGTAATAATGCAAGCAATCTCTCGCCCGCGATATAGACGCGAATTCTAACCTTGAGATAAAAATTTGATGTTTTCGTATGGGTTGTTGTTCAGTTTTAAAAAGCACACCGCACCCTCGTGTTGTTCATGCGAAGGTGAATTTCTGATCGGCAAATGACTTCCTATTTCTATACGCGGATGATTACCTTTTCTACGGTCCACAATGCCAACCTGTCAAATCGGCTTTGATTGGTTTATCTGTAAATAGATAGAGAAGCAATTCAGTTGGTTAGTTTTTTTTTACAAACAGATATTTAAGATCATCGGTAAATGTTTACTCATCATTATGAGCTCAAAGCACTACAGAGGCAAACAGACCACGCCGCCTGTTGGCCGCACTGCCTACTACACGCTTAACTTTTTTTTGCTGAGATTCCAACAGCCGAGTAGTTCTGCAATTCAATTTGGCTAAGATTTAATAAAACAATTGCCTTGAGTATTAGATTTTTGCAGAGATCCCAGCTAACAAACAGATATTTTTCAGAGATATCAGCAAAAGTAAATGCCGAGGCGAACGATTTTTATTGCAGTTAAAAATACTCACATTGTTATGTCTATGGCACGATTCTACCGTAAGTAAACAAAAAACCAATCCACAAAAGCCTACTTCGTTCGCCTTGATGACCTAACAATGAGATAGAGGATCTGTCATATCCATACCGAAAACCCGTAAGCATATCATGGCATGCTGAGTCGTTCGTCGGTCGTCTGCCCATCAAACCACTCTCACATGAGGAACGAGCGCGTCAAACAAGCTGTTGTTAATCATAATGATATGATAACTCATATCACCGACCTTCCAGGCAATAGTCACCAGCCAGAGGGTGTGCTGCTTTGTTCGTATTGGGGCGGATGCTTTAGCTTACCGACGGCGTTTAAGTCCGGTTTAGATGCCTCCAGTCGGAGTTCAACTCACTTGAATCGGTATCCAACTTTGTCATTAATTCAAATTTTGAACGTCGACCACCAGATCGGGAGTGAGTTGGATCGAAATTCCCCTGCCCCGTGTAAACCGGGCTTAAGGCAAAGGGAGCGTATACGACAAAAATGTGTGAAATCAAATCATGAATACTCGCTCGGAACGTCGCTCAGCACGCGCACTCACACAAATGCGCGTACTACACCAAGCAAAACAAAAACATAACCGATCCGTTTCGAACCGAGTTCAATTAGCGGTGTGTTGTTTCTCCGAATTTAACGGCAGAGAAATCGAACCGAATCGATCGATCAAATCTAGATTAAAATTTGAAAAGGGCAGAATTCCAATATTAGCATACCGAGAAAACCGCTTCCAAATTTTGATGACCTAAAAATTATTTCCATTTCACTACTTGCCATTTTCTGGAAGATGTTATTAGCTTGACATATTCAGGCATAACATTTGATAACGGCACAAAAGCATTTGTAAACAAACTTTCTAAGGCCCACGCAAACCAAAGTACGCCCACGGGGGTCCGCACCTTTCAAATGTTAGTCTAGCCCGAGGGGGACGACTCTATCTACGATGCAAAAAAGAATGTGTTTTGCTGTAGCTAGCTGGGCGCACGCTGAGTAGATAGAAAGAAGATTTATGACGATTCTGAAGATTTCCTGCAAAAAATTGATGAGCGGTGCAAGTAGATGCGACAAATGAAAGAAGATTGTTCGAAGATTAATTCGCTAGTGTGAGATTTGTTGACCATCTAAACTTGAGATTTAGATGTGTCGCCCCCCTCGGTCTAGCCAAGGGGTGGTTACTCTACATAGAGTCGGTGTATAATGAGTCACGCCAAGAGTGAAGCCAAGTCTAGGGGAGAATGGTATACAACGCACCCCCTGGGCAGAACGCACCAGCTGACTTTCATTTCAGTGCCAACATTTCAAAGGGGCGTAATTGCTTTTGTAAACAATGACTTTAACCGTAAATTTCTCGCGAATGAAATCTTACCTCTACAAAATTACATTGCTTGCTGATAGAGGAAACATTCCTCTACCTGCTGGTGTAATTATTTTTCATGAGAGAGATTTTATTCGCGAGAAATCGACGACTAAAGCCATTGTTTACAAATGCAATTACGCCCCTTTGAAATGTTGGCACTGATTTGTGTTTTTCATGGCTTTTGCGTATCTTTTTTGTTGTCTTATCAAGCAGCACTTCTAGCATAGCATCTGAACTCAAAATCCTGCATGATAAATCCTAGAATTAGATTAAAACTTCCAAGAAAAACTCAAAATAAAATGAAAAAGTGCGTCTTACCCCGGGGGTGCGTTATGTACTGTTCTCCCCTACCTATCGAACTGTCAAACCAGCTACCTATCGTGCAAAGCAAACAAACATTACGATGCTATGAAAGATCCACGAAAGGTATTGCAATAAAATATAAAATAAAATCGAAGAAATTATAATAAACACGCAGTGAGCATTCAATTGTTACGTACGTACGGAAAGGTAAATAAATTTGGAAGCCATCAGTAATAATAACATTCCGTTTGGTGCTAAACTGCGCTAGATTAAGAAAGACTAAGTGCGGGTTGTGCTTAATAGGTCGAAAATGGGGTAGTTAACCCTACTTATCTACTGCTTGCTTCTCTATCCATTTAATTTAGACAAAAATATGGCATAAGGGGATTGCTCTGTCGTAAAACTGAAATCAGATCGAAAGACTAAGGAATAGTGTGAATACATTCAGCGAAGTGTTTTGACGGGAAAATACGGTGAAATTAACGTTTAAATTTTGGTGTCCGAAAATACTCAATGGGTGGCGAAGCCGACATTTATCATACCTATCTCAAAATGTCCTTGTCCGATTTGTCATTTTTCAAAGAAAAAAAAACTGCAAATATTTAAAATTATGAACACATAAAAATTGTCAACTTTTGGTCAAGTTTTTAAAGATTTTTATAAGAACGTTTTCGATGTTATTTCAGGAAAACAATGTTTGAGACATTCTTAATCATTTTCTGTGAAAAAAATACCCAAAAATGTGTACAAAAAGAAAGTTCAAAAATTTGACCAATAGTTCTTGTTGTACGATTTTTGACAGTTTTCAAATGTCCATGGTATTGAACATTCCAAAATTTTGAAGATTTCATAAGCTTTTTTCTTTGATAAGAAAGAATCAACAACCAGCAAGGACATTTTTAGATATTTCGGATCATTTTTTGAATTTTTCTTAAAATAAATTAAAATATTTTTTTTATTTTGTTCCACAACGACATTATTTTTCACTACAACTTTGTCTCAGACGTAATGTGTATCAGAAATGCCATTTCCTTGCTACATTTTTTTTTTAAATTTCAAGGACGCCAGAGATCTAAAATGGCCGAATTTAAGCAAAAATT